CTCCTCCCCCCCTCTCCTCTTCTCTCCTCTCTCCACCCCTCCTCTTTTTCTTTTCCTTCCTTCTTTCTTTTTCTTCCTTCTCTTATTTTCTTTTGCTTCCTCCCTTTCTTCCTTCCTTCATCTTTGCTTTTCCTTCATTCTTTCCCTCCTCTTTCTTTTCCTTCCTCCTTTTTATTTTCCTTCCTTCCCTTTTCCTTCCTTCCTCCTTTTTCTTTTCTTTCCCTCCCTTCTGTCTGGCAGCCTCTGTATGTAGGCGGGGTTCACTCTTGGGGTGTTGCGTGTGTGTTCCCTTTGGGTTGGCTGGGTAACCCCGTGCATGCAACTCAAAACCAGACACCCCACGGTCAGGGGCCACGGCCTTGGCCTCGTGCAAACACTCCCACACGTGGGAGTGCCACACAGGGCCTCATGGCTTCAACCACCTCTGCGGTCTTCGGCGCTTCCTCCCCCTTAGGGAGAAAGGCCACCATGCACGGCACCCTGTGTCAGGCATAGCCCCATTGCGCACCTACCCTCCTCAGATGGTTACAGCCACGATACAGTCCAACATCACACTCCTGTAGAACCCCACCTTCTCAGAGGTTGGAGGGAGAAGAACCAGTCCACACAGCTAGTCTTTTTGTTGGTTTTACTTGAAGGTATAAACAGAACAAAGTATACGTTTCAGCCACCCCTAGGTGGGATGACGGCACAATTCTTGTTACTTGCTTGGTGTTACAATTTAGAGAGAGAGAGGTACATCAGCCCAGGTGCAGCCCAGAGCCCACGACTTACTTCGGCCATAGGCCCACTGGCAAATATCGTCAGTCTTCTAGCACTTCACTATTCTCCGGAATCCCATCCTTGTCAGTCCTAGCACGGTGGGTTTCCCCCTGTGGGGAAACTAGGGAATCTTTGTAGCTCTACATAGTCCTAGGCCTGGTCCTGTCCTTCCCATGGACCAGCCTATGTTCAAGAATCAGTCTCCCTCCAGAGACTCTGCAAACAGTCCTAGACTTCTGCTCTCCTGTAATCTCTGCCTTGAACTCCACTGAACTGCCCTCCTTCCCCTCTCGGGCGCCCCCTATAAATCAACTCTCCTGGGACACAGAGTCTTCCCAGGACAGAGCTGCATCTATCTCCAGGGCCCCATGGGGGCATCTAGTGGCCGTTGGCCATACTGCACCTACCTACATGTAGTTCAGGCAGCCTGTATTGCTGGCGGCAACCCTGACTGGCGAGGGTTAATCACCCTGTGTCTTGCTGGCTGCCGCACTAGTCTAGTCAGCTGTGGTTGATTTAATAAAACCACACACCTCCATCTCTGGGATTGGCCTTGTTGCTGGTGGCGCCATATTTAAGCATCATCAGCCTGTTCCCCAGTGCTTTTGATAGTTCTGGCTATACAAGCTGTGCGCTGTTGCTGCGTGTGTCTGTGCCTGCGCCTGCAAATCTTGTTGGTCTTGGCCTGGATTATGCTTTGCTCTCTTCCAGCACTGACCTCAGCTTGTGCCTGGATTACCCTTTGCCAGCTGCCTGCCCTGACCTTAGCCTGTGTCCGGATTACACTTGCCAGCTGCCAGCCTTTGATCTCAGCTTGTCCTGGAATACTTTGGTCCATACCTTGGTTTAGCACCTCTGGCCGGCCTTTGGCATCACCTGATCAGAACATATAGTTTAAGTCCTTGGGGCATCCAAGTACCGGTAGGCGTGCTTGCCTTATGGGAACGGCAGCTGCTATAGGTGAAACAACTCCTCACTATTTGTTCTGACAGCGTGCGTCCACAGCAGCTCCTTCCCTTCTTCCTTCCTTCGGTCTGCTTTGCTTTTCCTTCTCTTCTCTTCTCTTCTTTTCTTCCTTCTCCTTTTTCTTCATTTCTCTTTTCCCCCACCATGTTCTCTTTCTTCCACCTTTTTTTCCTTTCTTCCACCTTTTTCCTTATGTACCAACTTTTGATAAGGGAAGCTGAGAGTTTATAATTCAGCTATAAGAAGTTCAAAAAACGAAAAATAATGTTATATAAATAAAGTTTGCCATTTCTTTAAAGGATTTTTATATTAAAAAAATCTAGAATGTAATTCCCATTATACTCTGGACTCTGCCAGTCATACGAAGGGCAAACTAGTTCCTGACAGACAAATAAAAGAACGTGTCTCAATGCCAGGAAACTGTGTACCTGTCTGAGATAAGTAGTCTGAAACCAAATACCATGTTCCGTGACAAATGATGAAATACGGACCTTCCTAGAACTGGGAGAGCCGAGAAATGATTAGTCCAGATAAGTAGAATGCCAACCATGATTTCTTCTGTATAATGCCTGGAAATTCAGAGAAGGCTTTGTCATTAAAGAGACACCATCACCTTGCCTATGCAAGGTACAAGACCTGTAAGCCGGCAAAAAAAAATTGTTTTGGATTTTTCGTTTTTTGGGATTCGGGTCCGAAAGTCAATTTGTTTCTTTATTTGGATTCGGATCTTTCCGAATTTCCATTTTCATTTTGCATGAGTTCAACAATAATTACAAACGGACGTTCACTGAAGAAAAGTGACATTAAAGGAGAACTATGGGGTTAAGTCTTTTCCCCATAGTTCTCCTTAGGGTAACGGGAGGACACAAACTAGCGTCCTCCTGTCACCTTAGGCTCAGTATACCGTGAGCTGTAGCTCGCGGTATACTGAGACGCCGCAGCTGAAGAGCATCCCGACAATTGTGCCGGGATCCGCCCAACTGCGTGACTGACAGCTGGCTCTGCCTATCTAGAGGCAGAGCCAGCTGTACCCGCCCCCACTCCCGTCCGATCCACCAGTCAGCGCTGGCGGATCGGAGCGGGGAGGGGGGGATCCTGGAGGGGCAGAGAGCTGTGACAGGATCGAGAGATGAGCAGGTCACAGGTCGACTAGAACTATGAGGTGAGTGAAAAGCACTCACCCCATAGTTCTCCTTTAAATGTTAACTTTTCTTTTTTAGCTTTTGTCAGTCCACAGAAACATGGGGCATTTTTTCCCCCAAAATCTTTTAAACAGCGTGTAGCCCCCCCTCCATTAATTTACAGACCCTTTAAGTCTGGTAGGAATTTTAGGGGGATCCCAACACCAAAAAAGCAAAAGAAAAGTGTGGGGTTCCCCCTAATATCCCTTTGGTATGGTGTAGGAGGGGGGACATGATAATTTCCCCCCTCCACCCTTTCCTGCTCTACCAGGCTGCTGCTCAGATCAAGGATCTGGTAAGGAATTTTAGGGGGGAACCCACGCTTTTTTTTTGGCATTGGAGTCCCCCCTTGGTGTCAATTGGTGCCATACCAAATTTTAATTTGGAACAAATCTTACATTTCTACAAGGTACAGTGACAGTGTCTCTGCAAAGGACATTCACTGACCCCATTATACTCACCCTACATGCACTACCTTGCAGCTCCTAGCTCCTCTGCAGCTGGAGCTGAAGTTGGCAGCGCTGGTGACATGGGGGACAGGGACATCACTCTCCAGGTCATGTGACTTTGCCTTTTGGAGAGACACTGTCACTTTGCCCTGAATGGGCATGGGCAAGGTGACAGGGTCTCGTCTATAATCTTGACAAAAGTTAGATCATTTTGTAGCCATCCAGCCCCACTTCCAGTCTCACACTTATCTGTTCCCCAATCCAGTGAGCTGAACCAGAAGAACCCCCAAACACACATATCAAGAATCCAAAACTGCATTTTATTAAACCACACGTCAGAAAGTCATTAAAAACCATCCAACACATTTTGGGAGCCAACAGTCCCTTCATCAGGGCTCTGGCATATGTCATATGTTATCTTGGACTTTTAACTAGGAGGCTGGACCAATCTGTCTTAGAGAACTCTCAAATAGAAGCCCGGACCAATTAAAAGGGCGAAAAGGGGGATTAGCATGTGGGGTAATAGATGTTTGCGTTAGGAAACCACGCAGTCTCAAACCAGTGAGATTTATACAACTGCTTCATAAAAATCATAAATCTTCTATGCCAGACCTATGTATGCATACTACACTCTCATACAATCCTACAAAGAATTAGCACAGAATACATAGATGATAAGATTAAATGAGAAAGCAGCGCTCTTGTGTGGGCCCAACATAGATGTTTTTGGCAAGTGGTTGATGAGGCCCCACAGCTGATCTTGCTGGATTTGGAGATCGGTAAGTATACATCTACAACCTGTCAGTGATCTGTTCAGCAGCGCGCTTCTCCTGTGACGATCAGGGAATACTATTTCCATAATGGTGTGTACTTGGTCAGAAACAATGTTTAGGTAGGTGGTACTTCTCAAAGTAACATCCACATGAATGACAGGACCCAAGGTTTCCCAGCAGAACATTTTAAGGTTGAATGTATTGTGGTGTAATACTGTATTATGGCCACAAGATGGAGCTGAGGAGCATAGGAAATAAATACTTTTTTCCTATGATCCTCCACCCCATCTAGTGGTCATAATGCAGTATTTACATGATATTACGTTCAGCCTGCAAGGAAAATATATTAAGGATGTTCCTTTGTGCCATTATTCGCACAAAACAAACATCCACATATATTGTTTATGAAAAGACATTGAAGACATGTTGTATTACTTTAATCATTTATAATAATTCATTTGTTTAATTAGTGAAATATAACAAATTATGCTTATTGCTAAATGACAGGTGCCCTTCAACCTATCTAGTACTTAGCACTCATATTCTACATACCAGGAATTATTTTATATGGGTGTATATCTGAATTTATCCTTCCACCCCAAAAAATAATCTGACACAGATAACCTTCCCGTGCAGTAAATTGTTTGTTTGCTAATGGCAAATGCATCTGTTGCACAACTCCCTTTTCTGGCAATGTAACTAATGGGAGTCATTTCCCAAAATGTCTTATATTCCTGTCTGAAGACCCAAGTTAGCGAAAATGATGACACCCCAGCGTCTTGTTTGCTTTAACAAAAATGTGCTTAGCACATCGTTTTTTTTTTGCTATAAATAGGGAAAGCCCCAGTGCTTCTCAAAGTATTTTCAGGATGAAGTTTCTTACCGTGTTCCTCCTGGCTGCCCTTGTTTCTGGCACCTGTGCACTGCACAAATGTACCGTGATGAGGGCGATAAAACAGGGTAATGTGATCGGCATTAAGGGCTACACTCTTGGAGACTGTAAGTATTGTTATTTGTAATTTTGTCTCTACTGTGCTAGGAGTGCCCATGCAGATACTCATTTCTCTTTGAGGTTCTCTGCTATAAAGGCTTATAGAGCTCTATGAGTGTACCTAGGAATGATAGGGGGGGGGTATTGGTGAGGTCAACCCAGTGGCGGAACTACCGGGGGCCTGAGGCTGTTGGGGGGCCCAGTGGGGGCCGGTCCTGGGCACCCCCACAGCCTCAGTGGGGTACACAGTTTGAGACTACGTTAGAATGTGTGACCAGTGACATGGTCACACATTTAAACGTAATCTTGGCTATTTTTTCGGCGGTGGAATAGGTGAAGAATTCCAACGCTTTCCCAGCTGTTCCAGGGCAGATCGGCATCGCAAATCGCATGTGCAGGGAACCAATCTGCTCTGGAACAGCTGATCGGTCCCGAAATGTCACTTCTCTCCGACTGCGATCTCACATTTCACCGCACTCACAAAGTCGGATAGAAGTGACATTTCAGGACTGATCAGTTGTTCCAAAGCGCTGGAATGCTTCACCTATTGGCAGTCACACATTCCACAGCCGAAAAACTGGGCGGGATTAAGTTAAAACATGTGACCACGTCACCGGTCACACATTCTAACGTAGTCACAACCTTTGATAGAACACCGCCATCAGGGGGGTATGGCCGGTACCCATGTGAGGGGTCTGGACAGCCTCTTACATGGGTATCAACTGTACCCGGGCGGCATGGCAGAGGTGACAGGGGAGGGGGTGGAGGAGGCCGGGCCCCAGCAGCAGCAGGTAAGAAGAGTTGGGAGGAGGTACAGGAAAAGGGACCCCAGCGACCAGACCATACCAGCCCATCTGGGACCCTGCAGAGCCCACCATAGAGAGTCTCAGGTGGGCAATGCAGGATCTATGGTGTGCTCTGCAGGGTCTCAGGTTCCGCTCCCCCCCCCCCCCGACTTGGGAGGGGGGCCCAGGAGATAAAATCGTGCACCAGGGCCCTTTGGTTATTAGGTCCGCCACTGGGTCAACCTACTTGATCACCAATACCCCCCTTATCAGCTGGGTCAACCATGGACATCATCCGGGTCCTGCAGAACATGGAGGGTGTTCTATCAGTCTGCTTTTGACCCATGATTAGACGGATCAAAAATGGACAGCAATACATCCCTATAGGCCTGCCACTTCCAGGTCAGTTAAGGCCCATGGGACTAAACCTAAGTTGTTTGTGTTCAGGTCTGCTTTTACTGACCTCAATGGATGTGGGTAGACATAGATTGCCACACGTCTATGCATGAAGCCACCTGTCTTAATGACATTTATCCATCCCAAGATGGCGGAAAAATAGGAATGGACATGGATGTCACATATGTGTTGTCCATCTTCATTCTGATCCATCCCAGCAAGGAATCTATCTTGGATCTTGTTCTGAGATGGAACAGATGGCACCCATCTGAAAGGGATTTTAATCATTAAATGAGCATCAAATCCTTAACCTTTTTGTTAAAGCTGAACTCCAGACAAACTGATAAATACTTATATAAGATAAATATATTTTGCATCCAGTCTTAAGATTTACACAGTTCTCTCACACAGCACAGCCCAATTTGCAGAGCAGGATGCTTGATTTTCCTCTACTGCAGTTAAGTAACCTTTACAGAAGTTACATCTCTCCCAGCCCGAGACTGGACAATGAAAGGAGAAGCAGCCAATTCAACAACTCACCTCAGATTCACTATACTCTCTCCTCCAAATGAATACAGATCTGTATCTTGATATAATTAAATGCATTTTTAAAATGCAAGCACCTGCATTAAAGTTAGTAGAGTCCCTGTACAGCAGAGTTCAGAGTGGCAGAGGGTGAAGAAGCTAGGGTTGCCACCTTTTCTTCTAGTGAAACCCGAACACTCTAGTGACGCACTGAAATTTTTTTGGGAGAATGAGTCGCGGCTTATTTGTATGTAAATAGCGCCGTCCATTCATATGTAAATTGAGTTGAGTTTTATTTTTGGTATTTTCCCTCTATTCAAATACAAGTACAACCTCCTTTTTTGTTGCCCTCGACTTGTTGTGGCTGCTTTGCTTTCCTGACACGATTCCCATGCATGACTACTTGTATTTGAATAGAGGGAAAACATACCTGAGACACTCGGCCCCCTCCATTTTTCATGTAGTGATGTCGACTGATGGTCCTTCTGGACTCCTCCCATGTAAGCTTGTTAATATCCATGATATTATAATGTGTATATATGTTTGTTTTATATAAGGGTGTAGTCTCTGATTTGCCTCACATGGGTTCTCTCTCATTTAGGATATATAATTTCCCCTGAAGAAGCCCAGTCGGGCGAAACATGTCGGGTTTTATCTGAATGAGTCATCTATTATGTCCTATTTTCATTACAATTGCTGACTTGATGTGACATCTACACTGCATGTGAAATAGACCAATTAGTTTTTAACTCTATTTATCTATTTTCAATTATGTAATAAATGAATTCATATTTTTATACAATTAGAGAGTTTATAGTATTTCTTAAAAGCCCCTCCCCTTTCGGTAATTGCATACCTTAAGGTGGAATCTACTCTTTGTATTCTTTTTAGTCAAATCTATTTGGGGTGTGAAATCTTGCTCTCTTTTCTCTTTTCTCTTTATTGTTCTAACACATGCCAACTAAAACCTACTTACAACTTTACAATTTGTATTACCTTACTTGATCACCTCAATTGAATTTGAGTTGTATTACCACTGCTCACAGACTCAAGCACCCAGGGCTGTGGCTCAGTCACATGAAGGGTGACGATTGTGGAGTCTGAAGGCCAAGTGTTCGATTCCCAATGTAGAGCAAACTACCTAATGGCTGTTTGGGGTGAAACAGCAACAATGTGCTTGGTGGAATGTGAATGGGCGTCCCTGGTCACAAAAACCTGGTAAGGCGTGGACCTTCTCCCCAAAAAACTATGAGGTGGTTGGCACAATGTGAATGAAGAGACATCCACTGTTCACAAAAACCAGGTGAGAGGTTAAGGAGCTGACCGTCTCACCAAATAACTATGAGGTTGGCACTGTGTGAATGAAACCTCAGTGACATACACTCAAGCCATGAAGGGCACCTCTCATTACAAAAACCTGATGAGGGGTTAAAGAAGGAGTGGACCTGCTCCTCAAAGAACTGTGGGGTCAGCACCATGTGAATGAAACCTCAGTGAAGTAAACTCCAGCCATATGACCTGGGTGTCCAGGGAAACATGTGAATGAAATGCCAAAGATAGGTGCACCTTGCCATGGCAAGGGGGAATAGGGTGACCTGGCAAGTTGGAAGAGGCAAAGTGCCTCACAGAAAAACAAACATGTCTAAAATTAAGGAAATGTTATGGATACCTTGCCCAGTTCTTTCTGTCCACTCCACCATCCTCAGTGCACAGCTTTCCTTGGACAGGATCATTCAGCTACTTCACCAAGAATGGTGATCAGCACCATCACTTCAAGTTTCCCAAGGAAGGTGGTCCTCACCCCCACATGTTCAAGCTCTGAGCACTTCCACTGGGTCTTCACACAACTTTGCACCCATCACACAACCTAGTGGTCTTGGTCCTGCTTCAAGTGACCAACTTTGCACTCACTGGTGGAAATCGAACCCCCAACCCCCTGATTCAGGCTCCAGGAGCCTTACACGCTGCACCACAGAACCAGAAGACAAAAGAATGAGTTGCTCATGTTCCTATATCATGGAGATTGGCTCTCTGAGCCATTGAACACTAAAACAAACATATTACCACAGAAGAGATTCAAACTGGGAAAGCCAAGGCCTGCAGCATTCTAAAGCAGCAATCAAACCACATGCACCACAAGGCCTGGACATGTGCAAACCTGCTCAGTAAAAGTATATACTAAAGACAACTTTGGAGGTGGGACTATAAAAAGTGTACAGGAGCTCATGAATCACAGAATTTACCTCTCTACATGCAGATTTGAACACACCCCCTATAGCATACAAGATGAACACTCTACCCACTGAGCTACTTCCACCGCACGCAGAATGCAAATCACTGTGCACACTTCACTATTCTTCAGAAGTTCATCAATGGCCAGGTAGAAAGTATTTACATGGGTGCTGAAAGCAAAGAGAACCTGCCTTGATTTGGCCAACCAATATGCTGAGTTGCCATCACTTCCCTGGCAGAAAGCCATTGGCACAAGTGCCTAGCACAGGCCACATAGCACAGAGCCATGGTGCAGCTGGGAAGGATTCCCAAAAAATTGTCAGGATCCACCCCAGCTCTCTAAGTGACAGCTGGCTCCGCCTCTAGAAGTCAGCTGTGCCCTTCTTTTCCCCAGTCTGTCCTTCCAATGAGCACTGTAAGTAGGGTCGCCACCTTTTCTTCAAGCAAAACCCGAACACACTCGAGCGACGCGCGGACATTTTTTGGGGGAACGAGTCCTTGCTTATGTAATTCGTGCCCCCCATTCATATGTAAATATCAGAGTTGAGACTATTTTCGGTGGGGGGGGGGGGGCAGTAGTCCCTATCTTAATTTTGGTTGCCCCGTCTACCTGACATCTTGTGTCCGGGTTTCTACTGCCATGAAACCCGGACACAGCATTCAAAACCCAAACTGTCCGGGTGAATCCTGGACAGGTGGCAACCTTAGAAGAAGCACAGCCAATCAGTTATGCTGCAGGGCTCATGTGTTAGCACATTCTCTGCAGTACAGGGACTCTACTAAGTTTAATGCAGGTGTTTGCATTTTAAAAATACATTTAAGGATGTATTAATGAATACATAGCTGCATTCATTGGTTTCTTTAATATCTGCCTGTAGTTCAACTTTCAAGTAAACCTCATCCCTTTATTTTTACTAAGCTTACATAGTAAGAGTAGATGCCCCAAAGTACTTATCAGTAAAATGCTTTTCTGTGGATGCATATACTGCATATACTGGATGCATGCTGGGGCCAGGGTCACTTGAATTAAGAAGTATATGTGTATATAAACCAAATGGAGCACCAAGAAGACATTCCAAAAAGTCCTAAAATATTTAGTTAATTCCTCTAACAACAGGACAATAGTGGCAGCAGGGCCGGATTTACTCTCTATTCTGCCCCAAGGCTGGGTCCCTCAATTGCCCGAAGCAGGGCTAAATGTAGAAAAAAAAACTACCCGCCCAGCGGCTGTTCTGCCACTCTACTCCCTGCCACCCCAAGGTCGGTCCTCGGTGGCCTTGTGGGAAATCCGGCCCTGAGTGGCAGCCAATGCATTTTGGGAGCCAAACAACCTACTTCATCAGGGCTTAAGCACTTATCAAAATATCAAACTGGACTGAGACTGGGTGATTCAACCTACACATGCAGATGTGGTCAAAGGATGGATATCTGTGTCTGCCCAGAGCAGCATGTCGCATGTATGACTTTGGCAGACATTACTTTATATAGTGATAGGCTCACTTAAATTAGTTTAGTTAATATTATTAATTGACCAACTTTAGAATATGAGATGTTGTTGTTAATGAGTTATATATGACACTGCAATATGAAATGTTTTTGTTTCCTCCAAAGTTCTTCTGAAGACTCATAGGTAAGATATATATTTTTGGAATCTTCCAGATATGTGCCTGGTCCATCATGCCAGTTATTATGATCACACCTTGCGCAGAAGTCCCTCTGAATACGGCATCTTCCAGATCAACAGTTACTGGTGGTGTAACGATTACGAAACTTCTGGGCGCCAGAATCTATGTGGAATGCCTTGTTATGGTAATGTTTATTTAGTGTATAGCAGCCAATGGAAAATCACTGTGTACACCTCATCTGTGGATATTCTGCAAAAGGACTATTCCGTCATCATAAATTGGGTTACATTTAACAAAAGTATTGTTTTTTAGTTGCCTCTGGAAAAACGCAATCCAGCTTCTTAACTAGGCTTGCAGGACATCGTTGTAGAAACGTGAGGAAGGATGTCCCTCCAAGCTCCATGACTATACATTTTCACAATCTACCTCTGGAAGATTAGATTTCAGAGAGATAAAGATTCAATAATTCTGAAAAGAATCATTATTACATTCTAAAGCAACACCAAAATGCAGTAGCCTCAGAAGAAAACAAATAATTGAGGTAGACCTCTAGGTAACTCTCTCGGAAATCAGTGTTCTAGTAAAAGCAACTCAAGTTGGGATTGGTGAGACTTCTAGAAAATCTCACTTATAGCCACCAATCAGAAATAATTTGGAAATATACTCACCTCCTCTCCAGAGATGTGATGCGAGTGAGCTCCAACATAGTCTCCCTGGCTTTTTCCAGGTTTGGGATCTTTGGCCATCTTGATTGGCCTGGACCGTAATGACGTGACTCCCACATATATGCTCTGCTTACAAAGAGGCATGACTGCTTTATATCAGAAGAAACAGAGTATGAGTCTTCTGCAATAAAAAAAAGCCTGCTTGTGCATACATTTGTAATTTAAATTCTACTTTAAATTTGTATTGAAAAAATTGTTCAGAAACTTTGATGTATCAGGGTATGGGGCAACAAACAGCTCTCATTCTTGATGCATTAATAGCATATTAATGCGTATATTAATGAAATAAAACATTTTTTTAAACTAATTTGTTTAATTATTTTTAAATAAAAGAATTAAAGTGCATGCGTGCACAATTCTTTTAATATTTTGTATTCATTTTTTTAACTATTTTTGGTAGAGTAAGGAATGGTTAAAACCCTTCCCTGTGTCCCATTTAGATTTCACTTCACTTTCTGTATGGAGACCCAACAGGAAATGAGAAAAAAACTTGACTTTGCACACACTTTAGAGAATAAGTGGGCTTTCAAACAAAGTGAACTTGCTCAATTTGCGCCCTCCCCTGACTTTACAGTTCCCACCCTACCCCTCAGCTGATCCATACTTACCAAGATCCAGCACCCGCTGCCTCCGGTGGCTGTGAAGAGGAGGGGTGGGTGGTGATTGTTTGATGCTGCCCTCCCTGCCTAGCTCGGCATCCCACCCAGCTGCTGGCAACCAGTGATGTCACTGTTTGCCAAGAGTTGGGTGGAATGCTAGCCAGAGTATCACAGTCTGCTAAGAGCTTTTGTATGGGGAGATGTGTACGGCCCATACACATCTCCCCGCCTGGCTCTTAGCAACTTGGAATGCTCTGGCCACATGTCCCAAAAAAATGCAGCCTCCTTGCTGGCCCTTTAGAATTCTATAAAATCTAAGAATTTTGATATGCAGTGAATACAACTGTCTACATTCTAACTTGGAAATGTGTATATTTGGAAGTAGACATTGAATTCTGTCATTGGTGATGTCAATGAAGGGGTCCACCTTCAATGAAGGGGTCAACCTTCAATGAAGGGGTCCATCTCCAGCATAGAGTTTTGCCTCCAGTGGAAAGGGCCCTCCTTCAATGATGTTCTGCGATGATACGTATACATTACAATAATGACATTACATTGTTGTATGTGTGTTTATATGTTTAGACCTACTGGACAGCGGTCTTTCAGATGACATAGCATGCCTAAGGAGAATTGTGAGAGATCCAAATGGACTTGATGCCTGGTAAGTTGCATGCTGCATTACAGATCACTCCTAGAGTTCCCTACCCTAGTTTCCCTTTCTGTAAAGACTGTTTGTAGCACCACTGAAATGATAAACTCTAGATCACCAAGGCAGTAGGAGACACTGGAACTGTGATTTAAAGATAAACTGTAGGCAGATATAGAAGACACAAATCAATGCAGCTCTGTAATCCTTAATATATTACTAAATGCATTTTATAAATGCAAGAAGTGTATGTGCCTGAATTTGACCTACTATCAGCCTCTTGCAGTCCCTGTACAGCAGAGGTGGAGGGAGAGAGGAAGAAGAAGCACAAGGAGTCAATCAGTTTATGTGCTGAAAAGAAGCATGTAGATAAGCTAATCACTGCGCTGTTCCCCCTTCCACTGTCCAATCACAGGATAGGGGTCAGGTCCAGTATGACCTGGGCTAAGAGGAAGTGGGTTCGCTGATCCTGGCACTGCTTTAAGGATGCCTTCTTTACTAACTGCTGCACAACACAACAGAGATTAAACTGTATTACAAGAAATAAAGATGAAGAGCAAATTCTAGCAACTCTTCACAAAGTAACCTTTACAGACTTTGGAACTTAGAGCCGCCTGAATCCTGAAGTGGTAGACCAGCCAAAGCGTCCATTTGTTTTGGATAGAGCAATTATTGTTTACAACCTCTTCCATGCTTTGTCCGGTGTGTCGTTGTGACCACTGTGATATGAAGTAATAGGAAATCTCCCCAATTTGCTTCTTTGTGGGGATGGTGTATTTTATATATATATAT